GTTTGTGCTGTCAGTTTCTTTCCAGATTGTCTGGTTGAGCGGTTGGATGTGTAGGCAACTCAGTAGGCTTGACATAGGCCAGCAATAGGTTACCCCCTCACCCACATTTTTTCTCTTTTATTCACTGTAGGGCTTTGAATACAATTATATATATATATATATATATATATACTAGACGAACCTTATGGTCGTATGGCAGTGAAGCATCAGTGCCAACACTGATGTCGCTGTCTTTGCTGCTGCTGATAGGGATAAGCACTGAACTCGAGTTTCGCTCTTTATGAGCTCATCAGCACTACATATCCCTGGCCGTGCCAGGTTTTGAACCGAAAACATCCAAAAAGCGAAGTGAGCGTATTACCACTCCGGCAGCAGGGCACTCCGAACGCATCTGAGTTATCACGTCTAGACGGGCGAACGTGTTCAGGCTTATGCGATGGTTTAACGACACCTCGAAGGACAACCCAGTGACTGTCTCAATTGTGTAGATCGGTCCATCCGCCTCTACAAGAGTCAAGAATTTAAAATGGGCACCTTTTATGGCCAGTTGCTGATGGTCAACGGAGTCAAAAGCAGACCCGAGCCTCAGAAAAAAACACTGTTGGTCGTCAGAAAGAAGGGGGTAATCCAACACTTGCAGTAAAGTGAAGATGTGAGCGATGCAACACCACATAGAGCGGAACCCAGCTTGATTCTTGCGAATCTGGTTTTCCCGATGACGGAGCAAACTATGTAGGATAATACCAGAGCACCTTGAAAGCCATGGTCATTAAACTCATGCCCCAGTGATTTTCATACGCTGTCCATTCACCGTTTTTGAGCACGGGAATCACCGCCATGATGTTCCATTTCATGAGCATTCTTTCATCATCCCAGATACATTGGAGTAAAGCCGTCAGTGTGACCACAAGGAAGTTGCTATATTCTTTGAAGAGTTTAGGGTTTAGACCGCCTGGTTCAGGCACTTTGTTGCGCTGGAACAATTGAATTACACGATGGTCTTCCGATGTCGATGGCGAACTGGTTCCATTAGGGTTCATAAGTTCTTCCAACAGGGGTGGCTGATGGCAGTAAGCTGAACTGTTCTTCAAAGTATTCAGCCCATCCTTGAAGACGCTCCAGCGAATGAACGGAGATCCGTCCTGTTTAGAAATTATGCTTAACGGCAGCATAACATCACTGTTCAAAAATAGTGCTTCGCCACAGTGCAACCGTAATTTGTTTCAAAGCCTTATGGTTAAGAAAACGAATAAAAGTGGATGGGGAAGGGCTTATTGTCAGCCTACCACAATCGTTCAGATGTGCCGACACCCACGGACACACACACCGAATAGAAACTGACAACAACGACGTGACTGACACTGATCAGCAGCCATAACTTATGGCGTCTCCAGTTATGTACAAAGGGCTACGCGGACTCCATCCTGCAAGGCAAGTCGCACCAAAAGAATCACCATCATCATCCATGACAGTAATAGCAGTGTTGACACTGATGCTTCACTGTCATGCGACATAAGGTTCGTCAAAACACATTTAAAGTTTTGGACTAAAAAGAAGAAAGGGTGACTAAGGGGAACTAGTGCTGGCCTATGTCAAGCATACAAACGCCCAATCAGACAATCTAGAAACAACCCGACAGCACGAACGCCACTGACAACGATAAGCCACCACTTCTTGTAATGTCTCCAGCCAAGCACAGGTGGGGTCATGGGGACCCCATTCTAGAAGGGGGGTCCAACACCAACAACACCCAAACTTTTCGTGATCTATTTCACGCCCTTCTGCCAAGTCATACGTTGTCCACTTCGCGGTTTGCGCCATTCTGAAGAAGGCACGGAGGACAATACTTGTTTTGGTAGACGGTATGCGTAGCACATGACCGGGCCATCGCAGACTGTGGTGCTGAATAATTCCTCCGATTGAAGTACCTGCCGAACAAGAAAATGCCCATTTTCTAATCACCTCGTTACTGACACGCTGACGCCATTCAAAATCAGCAACGCTTCTGAGATAACGGAGGCCGAAAATCTGAAGACGCCTCAAAGCGTCGATCCGCAGAGGCTACGTCTCGCACCAACAGGATACAGTCCTTACTGTAGCTTAGCACACGCGACCCTTAAGATCAAGTGACGCAAATTTGCAAACGTGATTCGAGTCTGAGATTTTTGCACCTACTTCACCAGACATTTCCGTCAGAGCTAATACAACTACCGAGACATGTCAAACTTTGCATTTCTCCTTGAATCGTAAGGGATATGTTCAGAGACTGCATGTTCGGAAGCATGACATCGCACTTTGAAGGTAGATACCGAAAGATGGTACGACGGGCGTTCAGTTTATTAAAAAAAAGCCCGCACTTGGCCTTCGTCTTCACAAAAAACGACAGTTTTCGAACTCGACAAGGTTCTCATCAGCAAGCATGTGAACAGCGTTCACCTCATTATCTCATCAGTGATGAAGCTGGACAAGAATGGAGAAAGTACACATCCTCGTCGAACAGGGAAGCCTTTGGAGTTCACGCAAGCGTGAACTCCACGCCTTTAAACCAAACTAAATACACGACCAAGACGTGCCTCTGGCGAACTGAGACACCCTCAGTCTTAAGCTATTTTTACGATATCTGAACTCTTCGTGGTGGACGAGGTGGTTAGATACTGATAAGAATCACCTCTTGTTGAATCGGAGGTGCAGCCGACTCGTGCATAAATGAGCACCAAAAACAAGGGGCTTTTAGTGTTACTACGGTGTGAACTATTATGGAAATTGACAGACGAACGGCGTAAATTCGGCTGTACACAGGTATCCGGTTAAGGGAAGCCTATGCTTGGAAAACTAATGACTATCTTGACACAGGCACAGCTGAAGACTTGAATGAAGCTTGTAGTCGACAGCGTCTAAATAGTGAGTGTGCTGTACGCTCAACTGCACTTGGATGTTGCATTCGAGTTTTGGGAATACAACGACGACCCCCGATTGAGCATCTAAAATTCGCACAAGGGAAGAACGCTCGCCCAATTCCTCAAAGGTTCAGGTGTCCAAAGCTCTGATAAAAGGAAAGTAAGGCCGCAATCTTGAGCGGTAGCGTACAATCTGCCACTATCCTTGGATATACTTACGGGCAGAATACAGAGAAGTGATTAATGAATGGGACACCGGGAGCTAACATATGACAGCGAGTGATACGAGGCGTCAGCAGTTGTTTTCGCTTACTCATCCCGCGGGGAATAATGCGCTGACATCAGGCGGAAACCGATGATGGTGTATATGGGCTAAAGTACTGCCAGTGCAACCAAGCCTACACAGGACAACAAAGGTCCTCAACTAAAGTCAAGCCGTTACGTACAGGCTGTTAACGTGTGACCACCGTATCAACTTTTAAGAAACCAAGTAACAACATATTCAAACAATCTGGAGCATCAGAAAACTGTTCATCCAAACTCTATTTATTGGATTCCTGGTAGAAAAAATCTTATGGATGCTCTAGCGGCACCCCATGATTCAGCGGGCTGTTGAGGTTGTCACTCTCTCCACGACGGATGACCACCGTCATCGTCCTTGTTGGCTGAACTACAGAAACCGAGACATCTCACCAAAGGCCTCGACAAAAAAGCCAGAGGGCCGCGAACAGCTTTTACCAAGATACAAATTTACCAGTGACCAATAAGAAGAACACGGGCCTTCAACTTGACGCAACCATTCGCCGCGCCAAGAAAACGCAAAAAATGAAACGTTTGCGATTCTACCATCTCCATTCAACAGCCGACCACGCACTATCAGGAATGAGAGTAACGAAAGATAGTTGTATTTGACTAACGCCTATGAACAATATCTACCGGCCCATGAACCACTCAAACTGCTGCAGCTCCTGATATGATCTCCGTCAGTTCACGTGTGATAGCGGCCTGTCGCGTGCGATTGAAGCTGAGCGTCAGCTTATCGATCATTTCACCTGAGGTAAAATAGCATGAAAAAATTAACCGCACTTGCCTGCATTTTTTGTGGCAGAATCCATAGCTGTCATGCGAGCAGATTGCTCACTCGTAGATGCTTCTTTAAGGGCGAAGAATATCAATGAGGCTAGTGTGTACTCATTGTAGCATTTCAGCACTTCTTCATCAACTGAATCATACAAAGAAAATTTCGGGGCAGCTACAACCTCCTCAAGACTCAGTATTGGTTGAGGGGTTGTTATGTAGGTCACAACAGTTCTACATATAGGTAAAAACCAAACGAAATTAACCCACTTAAATGTGTTGTAGTACATTACTGCCCGATCAAACTTGTAATCACTTTGTAGTATGGATTCCGCTATCTCGGAGGCATCTTCAAAAGTGGGCGCCTTCTTGCCGACATCGCTAAAGGACATCAGAAAAATATCTCGAAACTGCCTTAGAAGCTGGGCGCGCGATTTGTCACCGACCAAAACAAGTTTGGTATTTTTGTTGAGCTCGGGGTTCGCAAGCAACATATTTCGAATGGTCTGAAAATAGTGTTTACTGAGGTAAACCTTACCTTTACAATGCTACTATTGGCAGCACCACAGAGACCCCTGTCCGAAGTGATAGCCACCAATAATGTGTTGGGTTTGGCCTCGACCTCCGTCGAACCCAGATCAGTACAGTCGTAAAAAGCTGCAAATATATATCTGTAAATCTGACAAACCTTTGGCGCCGTTGCCATAGGGTCGGGCTACTCGAAGTTCTCGCTCAGCTCTAGCGAACTTCGAGGTAGAAACCATTTTCATCGACGCGGTGATCTTCTGTATGTTCTTCACTGAGCGCAAACGGACTGCGATATCCTTGAGGGTGGCCATGCCGCATGATTGTTGTCTAAAATGGATGTTTCAGGTTAGTAAAAACAACACAAAGCAGCCAATTACCCCAGGAGAGGCAACAGGCATCGTGGAGACGAGAGAGAGGGAGGCATCCCGAGAGAGCAACGAACCCAAAATACCTGACGACTGGAGAAAATCCCCGACATTTGATTGGTCGACGCCATCAATCAGTAGACCCACAGTTTCATGGACTCAAGGGTTGATACACGAGATCAATAATTTTGCCCAAGCCTCCCGAATCGGACTTTCTCTTGTCCTTCAGCGGCTTCCGTTCACCCGGAAGTCACAAGAGAATAAAGGTTGCGGCACTGCCATATAAGTTCACGCCGCGGGGCTGTCAGCTTGCCTACTCGAGGATTCGCATCAGGGATTCACGGATTGATACACAGGACCGAGGCATTTGCCCAAGTTTCCCGGCTCGCTTTTGTTCTTATTGTTCAGTGGCTGTCGTTCACCTGAAAGGCACAAGTGAAAAAATGGTGTAGCACTGCTCTTTATGTTCTCAGCGCGGGGAAGTATGCTCGCCAGAGCGAGGATTCGCACAAATAAATGTCCAGTAGTGCTTTAAACTGGGTTCTAGAAGGAGGGTGAACAACCACCGGAGGAAGGTCGTTCCACGCACCAACTACCCGAAATGAGAAAAATTTTGCCTGATGAATGTGTGCGCTCTGAGCTTGAAAATCTTCTTGCTGTGTCCCCGCCCATGTGCTTGCTGGGTCAACGGTGGAAAAAGCCTGTTTGCCAAGCTTTGATCAAACAGGGCAAAAGTAAGAATTAGGTCCCCTTGGAGGCGACGGTACTCCAGGGGAAAGAGATCAAGCATCACGAGACGCGTTTCGTAGTCCACGGATTTGAGGCCGGCAACCATTCTCGTAGCGGCTCGCTGGTTGCTTTGTTATCCTCGCGGGTGGTTTGAATGATAAAGCAGGTCGTTTGAGCTCCTTGGAATCACGTTAAGGTGGTGGTTTCGGATTCGATGCTCGTCGCACAGACAACGGAGAATGACTCCTTCAGTTGTGTGCTGATCACCAACTGTTTCTATCAAGTACGAACCTCCAACATAAAAGTTCTCATCGCTTAACCTGGCGGCCGTCAACCGCAAATCAACTGTGGCCACAGTTGGACCACTCGGCCTTCAGCCCCCGGTGGAGAGAGACAGATAATGTGAAAACAAAGCTGGGTTCCGCCTTGCATCGCACTTTTAGCCCCCGACAGATTCTGGAACAGCGACACTGCTTCCAGCAACCAACAATGGCTTGTTTATCTGGAAGTTGCCTTTGACTCTGTGGACCGCCAAGCACTATGGCAGTGTCTGTGGAGCAAAGGTGTCCCCCATAAATTCTTGACCCTCATTAAGGCGCTGTACGCCAACTCCCGCGGCCGTGTAAAGGTCTACGGCAAGCTCTCTCCTAAGTTCACCACATCCAGTGGGGTCCGACGGGGCTGCCCTCTTTCACATATCCTCTTGAACCTCGTCACTGGTACGATCGTGGAAGACGCACTAACTGCCTCTAATGCCTCGGGGTTCGAAGTGCTCTTTGGGCCTCCGCTCACAGATATTGAGCACGCAGACGACTTAGCTCTTCTGGGATCTGACCCCGTGGTAATGCAAAAAATATTAAATAACCTAAATAATTCTGCCTCGCGGTTCGGCATGCGCTTCACACCTGCAAACTGTAAAGTGCTACTTGCGAGACTGGTTGGCTCGAACCCTAGCCTCATGCTTGCGGATAAGCCGATATAGGTATTGCGCAAATCGCTAACCTGGGTAGCTGTATCAGTCCCGGGGGCCTGACGAAAGACGATTGGGAAGGCCAGAGCAGCTTTTCGAACCTACGTCACTTGTGGCGTAGGCGCGAAATCAGCTTCTCTTTCGGGGGTCAAGTTTACGATGCTGCGGTGCGTTCCATATTACTATATGGATCAGAAACCTGGCAGTCGCGTGCCGAGGACCTCAGAAAACTTTCAGTTTTCGATCGTCGATGTCTTCGGAGCGTTGCCCGAATCTGGTGAGAACACCGGATCAGCAATTCTGAAGTACGTCGAATGGTATTCTGGAGAAATAACTCATCCTCGATAGATGAACTGATTACACTGCCTAAGTTGCGCTGGCTTGGCCACGTGCTGCGTATGCCAGTCTACCGACTTCCTCGAAGGGCCCTTTTCGCACAACCACGTGAAGGGTGGAAGAGAGTCAGAAGCGGTCAGACGATGACCTGGCAGCGAAGTATGAAAGCCATTACCAGCAAACTGAGCTGCGCTGGCCATTGCTGTCTTCCTGGATGGGGACCTCGAGTCGGGCCATATCAATTGCTAGAGACATTGTCAGATACGGCCCAGTCGCGATCTCAATGGCGCTCTTGCATCCAAACTATTGCCTTCAATACATAGCTCCTTTTCCATCCCCCACTCCATTTGACAGCCCACTGACAGGGCTGGATTTATGCCCCAATCTATCCGCTCCCGCCTGCAATGCGCAGCTACCTACCCCTCCCCCAAATCATTGGTGAACGAAACTGCGGCAATGGCAACCACTGCACGACGAGTACGTGGTTATTAGAGCTGACAACAGTGATGATGATGATTGAGTTATGTTACTGTGCATAAATGGGATTTCATAATCAGCGCTGTACATAGACACAGGCCTGGCAGTTACAACAAGTACTCAAGGTGGGCGACAAAGAGTAGAGATATGAGCACAGGGGGCCAGCGTTGGTCATTGGATGAGGCTGCTGTGCATAGGTGAGGCCATATAGTCAGCGCCGCACGTAGCTACGGGCCCAGCACTTACGATAAGTAGTCAAGGTGGGTGACAACGGTCATTGTTATCATGGCAACAGCTTTATGGCGGTCACCACATTAAGAGCGTCAAATAGATAATATAAATGTTATCTGCAGCTATCTCGTGACGCTATAGTTTCAGTGAAAATAATTTGGGTTGGCTTCTAGCCATCGGCGATATATATATATATATGCAAGTCCTTTTTAGGAGTTCTTTATGGCATCAGCTTTCCTTATCAGACTGGATGGTGTTGACTGGGTGACGTGTATTCACTAGTTGGTGCATTTGAGGCACCTCGGTTTGGCGAAACTGAAGTTCTTGATAGTTTCTGGAATATTAAACTCCACCTTCTGTTTATATGAGGATTGGTTTTGTTTGCTGGACAGGCATCACAAATGAAAAGTGTTCTAACCTCAGAAATATGATACACGATTGTCGATGCATCTTATTGCTGCGGCAGGAATTCTCACAAAGAGAGTGGGGAATTAGGCCAATAATAATGATAGTGTTTATTCCTAACTGGTGGGTGGCATGCCGTCAGGCACGACCATAATGTGACACCCAGAACGAAAGCATGGCCGGCGGAGTTTGTGGGTACAAATGGTTGCGTGAAAAAAGGATTGTAACATAAACAACGGGCAGTATCCGATGTAGACTTTAGGGTTTGAAGATGGTGGACAAAAACAAAACGGGGGAGGTCGAAACACGAAATATCCTGCCTGACATTTGAAAAGAAAAGTGGACTTTTCGAAAGATGAGGATCCAGGACAATGGTTCTCGTGAAGCAGCAGAGTTGGGGTAATTCAGCCGGCCAATTCGAACTAAAACCCAAAACTACCACTGAAGCCTAGTGGTCTTGGACTAATGGGCTAATGGCCGGGGGTTATAGGAAAAGTGATTGTGAATGACGAAGTGGAGGAGATTAGCAATGCGAATAAATGACAGCAGGCTCATGGTGTACGGTGAAAACTATAAAGACTCACCGTTGTCGCTAATACATTGGGGACTAGTGTAAACGTTTCTAGGAAGAGTGAGTTTGTGATAATTCACAAGCTGGAACACGATTTGTGCAGACGGTCATTAACTTTGTGAGCAGCACCTACTGGTTAAATCCGACTGGAAAGTTCAGCAGATTTGAATGAACGAGTCTTGGTGGCAGCTGAGACCAGATGAAGAGTTTGTTCCTATTTGCGCATAAGTTAACAAGTAGGCTAGGCAGTGAGGTCAGTAAAGCCTTGCGAGTTCGATGAGACATAAGATGGCAAAAAAGCATTAACACAGATAGAAAACTCAACGTTTACCACAATTATGGTAGTGACAACAAGTGATAAAGTAATACCAGATAGAGGGATTTTTACTCAGTAGAAGAGCGACCAAGTCGGGGTCTATTTTGCTGATATATGGTACTAAATTATAAGGGGTAAACAGCGATCATGCAGAGAAGCGGTGTGGTTAGGGAAATCAGCGTATCAGGACTGGCGAGAGAGAACTTCCAATATGATGGCCTAGTTTACCTGGAATTTATTACGCGAGTTGGAAATTATCCTAACATAGTTGAGAAAGTGAATGCAAGAGAAATGGTCACCAGTCTCCAAAGCACTGCTATCAGCTTTAGCTGACATGTGGTGCATGGCAAAAGTCTCTAGGCGCTAGTGTTGTCAGCCGCCAGTGGAGAGCTAGGGGTCTCAGTATATATGTATGTGCACGGTATGTATATACGTACGGATTATGGTGTGCGTCTGGATACCACGACCGCCTCGGCGTTATCAGCGGCGGTTATGGGCCCAGCAGAGGTTGTTGCTCCGGCAGAAGCGATGATTCGACAGGCTCCCCAAGTAACAGTTTGATGTAGAAGTACGTCAGGTGTTGTGCTCACATATAATAACGGTGGGTTGATCTGTGTGGCTGCTCGAGAAGTTAAGCACATGGAGCATACGCGACTGAGTAATAAGAATAATGTTTATTCCCAACTTGTGGGTGGCATACCGTCTGGCATGATCAAAGTTTTACAGTCAGAATGGAGCTTGACTGGGGGATTTGTGGGGGTGAGGATTTCACAGAAGGGGGACAACGTCACAAACAGTGGGGAATACCCGATGATATAGTAATAATAAGTTATTTCCCAACCTGTTTGGAACAATGGGCATGAGGTCCGACTAGTTCAAAGACAGCCAGGTGGCATGAACTAAAACTGAAAACCATTGCTGGCCATGGGTGACCTTGGGTGGTTAGATAAATGCCCGGAGTCACAAGGAGCAAAGTAGAGATGGGGATGAGATAATTCAAATTGGGAGCACATGGAAAGTTTTGTCTCAAAAATGTGGTTTAATCTGAAAGTAAGCAGACTCACTGGTTGCTTTGTTGTAAGGATGTCAGGTGCAGGGGAATAGGTTGGATGGTGCCAAGTTGCTAATATATAGGGCGACCCGAACTCCGTATACGGATTTGAACTTGTGCAAGGGGCAAGCC